TTATTAGTAGCATTCTCCGATATTTATGCGGAACATTTTTCACGCAAAAATTTTACTGAGTTCAATGTTCTCAAATAAAACTGCATCTTCTGTTGCCAACGCTTGCCATTAATTTTTTTCCGTTTCTCATGTTATGAAGCCGGTGGCATGACAAATTGATTGGAACCATAATTTGGCGTAATCACAGTACTAGTATTATTTTCAACAGTACTAGCCATTTTCTGTAAAACCACAATTATAGAAAATAATCAATAAAAGAAATGTAGAAGAAAGGAAAAAAATATGTCTTAAAATTGTTGTCGAAAATTCGACTATCTCAATCGAATGAATAAATAAAGTGAACAAAAAATGAAATGCAGTAGATGAAGCGAGACATGCCAAAGCAAATCTCTTTAAGACAAATTTCGCCCCCAATAAAGTACAAACGGGATTATGGATGTTTGTCTCCTAAGATACAACGCTTATTCCAAAATCGATATTGCACAATATCAACCTTGTTGGTCGAACCAAAGAATGGTCGTACTCGAACGGAATAAACATGAATATATTTGAAAGAATTTTTGTAAATAGAATTTGGAGAGAGAATGAATTTAGAAATCAATGATATTTTAATTAATTTGGTGTGTTGAAAAACGAATTTGGAGGTCTCTATTTATAGAGATTGAAGTGTCCCATTGAATGTGTGTGTGATATTTCATGAACTGGTACACCACTTTGTCTAATTCGTCTTAGCCATTGGATTGCACTATTTCATGATCTGATGGCCTAGATTAAACCATAAAGTGTATTGTCCATTCATCATACCTATTCACTAATTTCTGAGTAGTCACCAACCATGCAGATGCCACGCGTACATCCAACTAAACCAACTGCCACACAGGACAAAGTGACGCCACATGTTACGTATGTGCCACCTAAGATGCCAACTCATCAAGCCTTCAGTTGCCATGTCATCGAACCATAAGTCCATTTCCAAAAACTATAAGGCTTCCCAACTCCTCGCGACGATGCGTACATGGGAAGTGCACCTATAAAGTGCCCAATGTGAACTTGACGACGTGCGCAGGCTGGGATCGAGGCACGACAAGAGTGGTGCTAGTGCTAGATAGTCGCTAGCCTTTGGCTAGCCAAAGTTAGTCAAGTTGTAGGTCACTTATTAAATTATAGTTTGTTCATGCATCTCATTATATAAACAAGTCTTTTTTCTTGTAAACTTTTGATGTGGGATTCCTTATCATATATAAGACATTTAAAATGGGATTATCAACTTATGGGCCTATATTGAAGATTTTGCCAATTCACTCAAACTAATTGCAATGTCCCACATCGTTAAATATCATATGTAATTATTTAACCCAATTAAATTCAATTAATTCCAACAGTTTATCAAAAGAAATCCTGGAATCTACGAAGTCCAAAGGCAGAGAAGTCCAATATGATAGCACAATAGTCTCGTGTTCAAGAACTAGAGACGACGAAAACTATATATTTTTATTTATTTTCTCAAACTCTTAAATAGTCATAAGAGTTCGCAAAACATTAATTAGCAGCATTACAAGAATTTTTACTCAGTTGATTTCACGCTATGAAAAGAATCTTACCGCGCTACAAAAATCAGACATGGTTACATAGAGAAAAACTGAATGAACGATAGTCAGTCATATGTAAGATACGAGGAATAAAAATTGCAATTCCATGGATGAATCGAAGCTTTAACACACCCCATTAGTCTTCTTCTTGTCAGAAACAAATTTCATCCAAGCTGTAGTGATCTCTCTTTGTACCTCGATGTCAGTTTTCTTCACCACGATACCATTCCGGGCATGCTCTTCAGTGGCAGCCATTTTATCACTAACTCTAGCCGGGAGCATATCGAGCTCGTGTAAAACCTTTTGAATGTCCAAGACAAGGCGCTCAGCCAGAGTCCTTGAAAAATCTTCGCGTATAACAACTCGAAGAACTGTTACATGTTGTGCGTCCGGTGGCATAGTATAGGCGGGGACGATCCACCCGAAGCGGCGAAGCACGTCAGACACCTCGAACTCGGTGTGACGCCTATTGTCTTTGAGAGAAAATGCCACCAATGGGACTCCATTGTCTTTTGATACAATGTTAAAGCGCCCTGTTTTCTCCAAGCCAGCCTTGAGTACCATTGCATTATCTTGACAATTTTCCATGATGTTCTTGTACCCCTGATCAATCAACGCCATTTAATCAATAACCGAACAGATATAATTGAGTTAGATCAAGAAAATTATGATCCAATATCCTCAATGGTACTATTATATAGATTTTCTTTCACTTAATTACCTCATAACCCAAGCGAATGAGCTGATAGTACTGAGCAATTACTTGACTAGAACCTGCAACATAAAAAATGGTAGATAATTTAGTATCCCTCGATTTATCTCGACCAAAAGCACTAGACCATGTCCCGTAATGAAAACTATTTTGTCGTTTTTATTAAAATTTTATTTTACCTTTAGAAAAGTTGAGTGTGAAAGTGGGTTGATCAGCTCCAAGGTAGTTAATGTGGAAGATGAGTTCTTCAGGCAAGTCCTCCTTGTTCCTCCAAATTGCCCATCCAATTCCAGCATACACAAGTCCATACTTGTGCCCACTCACATTAATACTCTTCACTAGTGGCAACCTGAAATCCCACTCAAGTTCTGGGTAGAGAAAGGGTGCAATGAACCCACCACTTGCTGCATCCACATGAATTGGTGTGTCCCACCTACTCAGAATAAAACCCGGCTCATTAGAGGCTTTACTACACATAAAATTTTCATAAACAAGTGACGACGAGACTTGAACCTTAAGTTGACAAAGACACGTACCCTGTTTCTTGATTCTTTTTCATCAAAAGGTTGTTCAAGGTCTTAACATCTTCGAATTCTCCATTAAGAGTAGAACCCAAGATTGCAGCAACACAAATTGTGTTTTCATCCACCATTTCCACAGCTTTCTCAGGGTCCATCACATAGTAACCGTCTCTCAGTTTGACCTCCTTTAACTCCACTTCAAAATACCTTGCAAATTTCTCCCAGCAAACCTGTGCAAAGGCCAATTTCAATAATGCGTGACAGCATTAATATTGTAACTTATTCTTTGAGGATATATATACCTGAACGTTGGCACCAGTGACAATGTTAGGCTTGTCACAGGGTTTACCAAGAGATTTCATCTTATTCTGCCATTTTCTCTTGAATGCCAAACCTGCAAGCATAATGGCTTCTGATGATCCTACTGTACCGACCCCAACTGCTGCCTCCCCGTCTCCCAGTGG